CATTTATTTTCATCAGGTTTGAGTACTGGCCAAATTGGCTGATTAAAAAGGGAGACAGTGGAAACAATGACCCCTTCCTTCAGTAAGTCTTGTGTAATGGCTTTTGATTCCAGTAGATCTTGTTTCAAAACACATTACTCTATGTTAACCACTTTAACCAGGTTCAGTGGAGGTGTGGAGAGGCCTATGGGATCCTTTTTTGTGAAACCAACTTTAAGTGCCAAAGACTTTGTTTTATTCAAACTTATTGCTTATTGAGTCAAGTATCCTTGCCCACTATGGGATATTTTAGGGAAATGAGTGCTATGACCTTGGGGAAGTTAGGTAAGACAAATAATACTGATGGTTAAGATGAGACATTGCTGTTTGCCCTGTATTTTAATGTCCTGTAACTTAAGTGCATAGGTGAGACCTTGTTTAAATTTCTTGGGACCCCTGGTATCATTGTTACTTGAGCCCAGTATTGACTAAAGCCATGAAGATTTGCCAATTGTGGGGATACCAATGAACCACTAGAGAGATATAGTGGCAAATTGTCCCCAGGTGGTGGCTTATACCTCTGGGAGATGCTGAGTACCTAGCAGGTTTGTGGGAGTTGCCACTGCCTAAAATCAAGACATTGGGTAGTGGGCTCTTGGGGTGTCAAGGGCATGAGAGTCATGGAGATCTGGAGGCAACTTTCTGTATATCTGTGTGGCCTGGCATTGGATACCCTGTAGCTTTTGCATAGTTCACTATAACGAAACTTGTATCTCCACAGGGGTTGTGCCAAGATTAAATGATTAAGGAGATCTAGACTTCAGAATCTCCAGTATTAGGCCTTTTGATGAGGTTGTTGTTTTGGGGAAGGCTGATTGCCTGGAGGTCCTTTGTGAGGCAACAAATAATTCTAGGCCATCTATTGCTTTCATTCTTTTTATAAAAAATAGTGGCAGCCTGTTTAAAAGGCCCAAGTAAGTCTTCTTGATTCTTTGGGGTGCTATTTGAAAAAAAAAATGTCTGATACAGAATCAAGAGGCCCTGCTTGCGAGTAGTAAGTGCTTCTGGTTAATTGGGATGTTTCACAAAATAATAATAAATACATTGCACCATGCCAGTTTTCCATAATAGCTATTATTCTTCTTTCAAGTTTTTCCAGCTATTGAAGGCAAGAGAATTTACAGTGGTGGCAGGGGGATGGAGTCATTTCCCTGGTGTGAAGATCCAGTAGATGAGAGGAAAGACAGGGAGATAAGTTCTAGTGTGCTGTGGGAGGGTGCATATTATGGTCCCTTTTCAATAGATCAGTGGGTTGCTCAATAAATTATTAATTTGGGGGTCATGAAGTATGCCTGCCAATTAACAAATCTCAGCAAATGTTAACATTAACTCTTAGCTGTGTTGAGTCTCAGTTCAGTTGCTCAGTAGTGTCTGACTCTGTGACCCCTGGCAGCACGCCAGGCTTCCCTGTCCATCACCAACAACCGGAACTTGCTCAGACTCATGTCCATTGAGTTGGTGATGCCATCCAACCATCTTATCCTCTGTTGTCTCCTTTTCCTCCTGCCGTCAATCTTTCCCAGCATCAGGGTCTTTTCCAATGAGTCAGTTCTTTGCATCACGTGGCCAAAATATTGGCATTTCAGCTTCAGCGTAAGTCCTTCCCATGAATATTCGGGACTGATTTCCTTTAGGATTGACTGGTTTGATCTCCTTGCAGTCCAAGGGATTCTGAGGAGTCTTCTCCAACATCATAGTTCAAAAGCATCAATTCTGTGTTTGATATAACAATTAACTGTGTTATAGAGGTGCAATAGCCAACTTTTCATCTTCCCTTTGAATAAATTCTTAGAGTTACTTTTGAATTTCCAAAAGGACAAATCACAGACTTCTGTTTTAGTTTCCCTTTCCTCCACCTGAATAAAAGATTTTTGAGTAGTTATCTGGAACTCTTTTGGGGAGGTCTTGCTCTGTCCTGTCTTTAAGTTTTTCCATCCGGGGAATTCCAGCTAGTGTCAGGAATTTCACCTGCACACATAATCTTACCCACAAATACCACTTGATTTGTTGACTTACAAGGCTGTGCTCCAGGGTGGGGTTGGAATGGCTGCTGAGCATGCAGAAAGATGGTGGTACCTGGAGTCTTTGGTGATCACTTTTTCAATTTTCCAATAATGTATAGTTTCCTCTGGCCCCTTTGGGGAGTTGGGATGACATATTCCGGTATGCTTTCATTAGTATCACAGAGCATCACACATTTTCCCTCTCCAGTGCTGAGATTCAGGATCCTTTTTTCTGCCAGAAGCAAAGCAGCAACAGAGGCGCTTTCAGCCACACAGAGACCTGGTGATCCAGGTGCCCTCTGGGGCTTATACCTCAGTGCACCACATACTTATTTGTTCTTTCTACACGAGTAATCACCGATGGCACAGTTGCATGTTAATCCCTGAGTGTTCTTTCGAGAGTCGTTCTCTGAGCCAAGAGTTGGTTAGACTCAGCTTATGGTAATATCAAGACACACGGTTAACTCTGAGACACAAGGATAGGTCTGAGCCGTGACACACCACCCAGAGTAACTTTGAAGAAGGCACTAGTCCCATTTAGGGTTTCCTGTACCTAACTGCCAATTATCAAAGTTTTTGATTTAGGCCAGTTAAATCTTATAACAGAGTCTTGGTAGAACTCAGCCCGTGCAGCACCAGCTAGCTTAGCTCAGAGTGTAAGTTTATCAGTCAGGCCACAGCAGAGCTCAAAGGTCACACCAGCTAGCAGGCAGCAGCTCCAAATGCATACTTCTCCACAGGCAACCTTCTGTTTTGTCTCTGGTTATATTGGCTTTTATCATTCCTTTCTGCCACCTCTGTCACCACTCTGCTCTGGACTGCTGATTTGCTGTTAGGGTCCTGGATGGTCAGCCTCCTGAATGCTTCCATTCATTCTCTGCTTTATATGATACTATATGGCACCCTGTTATCAGCTGAACGCTCAACACAGGCAGCTTTGTACCATGTAATTTTTTCTCTTTTGTCTTCTCTTTTCTGTCTCTGACCTCACACTGAGAATGTGAGGTCTTTGAGGGTGAAAACACCTCTTTTCCTCTCTGTATCCTCCGAGTCTCTACATAGTGGTGCCTCCATGAATTCTGGTCTTTGTTTTGGCTGCAACTGGGTTTTCGTTGCTGCACAGGTTTTCTCTAGTTTCAGCAAGCCAGAACTACTCTCTAGGTGGGATGTGTGGGCTTCTCTCCTTGCAGAGCATGAGCTCAAAAGCACTGGCTCAGCAGTTATGATGCATGGGTTTAGTTGTCCGGAGGCATGTGGGATCTTCCTGAACCAGGGATGGAACCCATGTCCCCTGCATTCACAGGTGGATTCTTTTTTTTTTTTCCCTTTTTTTTTTTTTTTTAATTTTTATTAGTTGGAGGCTAATTACTTTACATCATTACAGTAGTTTTTGTTATACATTGATATGAATTAGCCATGGATTTACATGTACTCCCCATCCCAGTCCCCCCTCCCACCTCCCTCTCCACCCGATCCCTCTGGGTCTTCCCAGTGCACCAGGCCCGAGCACTTGTCTCATGTACCCAACCTGAGCTGGTTATCCGTTTCACCCTAGATAATATACATGTTTCAATGCTGTTCTCCTGAAACATCCCACCCTCGCCTTCTCCCAGAGTCCACAAGTCTGTTCCATACATCTGAGTCTCTTTTTCTGTTTTGCATATAGGGTTATCGTTACCATCTTTCTAAAGTCCATATATATGTGTTAGTATACTGTAATGGTCTTTATCTTTCTGGCTTACTTCGCTCTGTATAATGGGCTCCAGTTTCATCCATCTCATTAGAACTGATTCAAATGAATTCTTTTTAATGGCTGAGTAATATTCCATGGTGTATATGTACCACAGCTTCCTCATCCATTCGTCTGCTGATGGGCATCTGGGTTGCTTCCATGTCCTGGCTATTATAAACAGTGCTGCGATGAACATTGGGGTGCATGTGTCTCTTTCAGATCTGGTTTCCTTGGTGTGTATGCCCAGAAGTGGGATTGCTGGGTCATACGGCAGTTGTATTTCCAGCTTTTTAAGAAATCTCCACACTGTTTTCCATAGTGTACAGGTGGATTCTTAACCACCAGACCACCAGTGCCGTGCTTGGTCGCTCAGTTGTGTCCGACTCTTTGTGACCCCATGGACTGTAGCCTGCCAGGCTCCTCTGTCCATGGGGATTCTCCAGGCAAGAATACTGGAGTAGGTTGCCATGCCCTCCTCCAGGGGATCTTCCCAACCCAGGGATTGAACCCAGGTCTCCTGCACTGCAGGTGGATTCCTTACGATCTGGGCCACAAGGGAAGTCCCCAGTTCAGGTCCTTTTTAATGACAGTGAAGGTGACACTGAAGTGTACATTGTGCCCATTGCATGCAAATTGATGTCTCTTGGGGTTTGTTTTCTTCCTGTATCCACTCAGCCCCTCCCTCCTTCTGCCTTAAGATAATCAATGAGCTGACAAAGTTTACTTATTTGTGAGCTCCGCTTCTAGGGCTCTAAAGCTGCAAATGACTTATCTTTTTCAGATCTTTTTTTCAAACCTGATTGTCCTAAAGTCCCTAAAGCAAGTACAACCAGTTCTTAAGCATTTACAAGGTTTTTCTCCTGCATGAGAGCAATCATGTTGCTGAGTGAGTTCTTCCTTCTGCCTGGAGGGGCTTTGTATGAAATGGAACATCACAAAATGGGGGCTTTTCCTTGTGCCTCTTCCAGGTCTGTGAAAAAGCAGGGGAGCCTCATCCATGCAACACTCACAGAATGGGAGTTTAACAGATAATCCTTATTATTTGTGCCCAATTTCTTTCTAGGAAGAAGTCAGGATAGTTTACAAAGAAAAATAGGTTAATCATGAGAAGTAAAAGAGGCAAAGAAAAAAATGTAAGCTGAAAAAGACATTAGTGCAGAAATGTACACTGTGATTCCATACACTTGTAAGGGCAGGTCATTTATTTGCTTCTTGCTTTCTTTCAGGACACAACAGATTGGAACTGTCACAGGGTCACAGTTCCCTGAAGTCAAAATAATACAGTCAACTGTGAAGAACAACTGTTGTTACTGAATCCAGAGAGAAACATCTCCCGAGGATTTCCATAAAGAGAATCCCTATAGTAAGCAATGTCCTCAACAGAGTTCTTAAAATAGATTCAGTAGTGGGTTTCTTAGGGTTATATTTTATCATGGCCCAAATGTAGCCTTAGAAAGGGAGGAGGGTATTTTGGGGAACTTCCTTTGAGTCGGGGGCGAGGGGGTGGGTGGCCATGGATAGTCCTGAACTAGACCAAGGCAAGCCTGGGCAGGGCTAGGCCAAACAGGGCTGGCTGGGCAGGATTGAGCAGAACGTGAACTGGTTTGGGCAAGGCTTAGCTGAGCAAGACAGATTGGACAGGACCACACAGTACTGGCTGTGCTGTGCTCAGCAGGTTCGAGCAAGGATGCCTACGCTGGGCAGTTCAGGGCAGACCTGGACAGGACTTCTAGAGCTGAATGGAGCAGGGCAGAGTCAGGCAAGGTTGGGCAGAACAGAACAAGCCTGAGCAGGTCTGGGCAGGGGACAAAAATATAAGAGGACAGGGTCTCAAACTCTGGAAGGAATTGCTGAAAGGAGGAAAATGTCCTCTGTTCCCAGTGGTCTCTAGAAGCTGCAGCCACAGAACTCATCCTCCCCGCAGGAGGGAGACTGCTTGCCTTGTTTACAATATGGATTGTTGATCCCTAGTAAGGGTAGATCTCCCTGAGGTCTCCCCTAAGGATACTGGCTGGATTGTCATGCTCTGAATGAATAGTATCGTTGTTGTTGGGAAAGACAATCTGAATCTAATATGTCCTGTCCGTGGAAGGCCCTTCTTCCCTGGAAAAGTCCTTGTCCTTCAAGACCCAAGGTAAATGGCGTTCTCTCTGTGCCACCTTCCTGATGCTTCAGCTCTGTAATTTGCTAACCCTTTACCTACGTCAACCAATATTGATGGTTGATGTATCTGTGTCATTACTAGTATTGGTTGAAATTCATCCTTTCTTTCTTGTTTGTTCATCATAATGGAGTGAAAGTGATGTTATACAAATGATCTCTAATTTGGCACGCTTAGTAACAAACTGATTTGTATTATGCTTCACAATCAATATGTTAGGACACCTCTATTGCAGGAAATAAAGTGGAGTGTGAGGCCTGATCATGTCCCAGGTCTCAGTCTAGTCCCTGTGAAGGCTTCCAAGTGTGGGTTCTTGGCTTCTTGTAGGAAAGAATTCAAGAGTGAACCATAGTGAAGTGAAAGAAGGTTTATTCAGGGAGATACACTCCATGGACAGAGTGTGGGCTGTCTCAGAAGGCAAGAGGCCCAGGGTATGGGGTTGTCAATTTTTATAGGAGTGGTTAATTTCATAGGCTAATGAGTGGAAAAATTAGGGGCAGGGAATTCCAGGAATTAGGCCACCTCCCACTTTTTGGCCTTTTATAGTTGGCCAAACTATAGGTGCCAAACTGTCATGGCACCTGTGGGTGTGTCATTTAGCTTGCTGATGTGTTATAGTGAGCATATACTGAGGCTCAAGGGCTAGGGGAAGTTGACTTATCTGCCATCTTGGACCTAGTTGGTTCTAACCTGTTTATGCTATATGCTCAATGGCTGTGTCATTCTTTTAAAGGTTGTGCCCTTCCCTCTTTCTGTCTCATCTCTACTGGGAGCCATTTTCATGGACTAAGATAAATTTGACTGCAGGATCAGGCACTAGAGCTGGAAGGATCATTAGGAAGTCTTATTAGGAAACTGAGACCCAGAGAGGATAATTGACTTACTGGAAGTCCCTCAGAGAGTTCAGGAGAGAACCTGGACAAAATTCTTTTGACTCTTGGCCTGATGTTTTCCCGTGAAAGACTTCAAAAATATGTGACTTTATATCTCATGTGCTCTGTATTAATGGCTCTGAAACCAGATTTTCAAAATGCGTGTCAGTAACTCCCAGGATCTGGGGATTTGTAGACACTTCTCTGGAATGATACTTCCCAGCCTAAACTTCCAGTCCTTTCTCCCTGTAATCCTATAGCTTCTCCAGGGGAGGCTTCTCTTTCTAATGAGGAGCCCCTGAAGTTGAGTGAGAATCACGAATAAAAACATCCAGTGAGCCTCAAGGAAAGGGGGTAGACTCTGGAGTCAGACAGATGTGGATTTGAATCCCAGTTTCATAATTTGAGTCAATCATTTACCATCCAGGAGTCACAGTTTTCTAATCTGTAAACTGGAGGTAAGAGTACCTACCTCATAGGACTGTCATGAGGAATACAAGGTAATAAATGTAAAATGCCTAGCACAAAGTCGGGGCTTAATAGATGCATTTTTGTCATTCTCCTTAAAAGAGCCCTCAGATATAATTTAGTAGTCTGTTCATGTCTGGGAGTCAGTTCAGAACAGCAGGCTACTTCGGAGTATAGACTCTAAAGTCAGACCCCAGCCCTAGTTAAAGTTTTGTTGTCACATAATTATAGGCTATGTCAACTTGCATAGGTGAGCCTCAGTTTTCTCACTGTCCTTCCTTTATAGAACCATTTTGAAGATTAAATGAAATATTGCATGCACATGGTTTAGCAGTGCAGTGCTTAGTATTCATCAATGCCAACTATCACCAGCAGTATTATTACCCTATTAAAACACTGTAGACAGTTGACAGTGAGAATCTTCCAAAGACTCGGGCCCCTACAGCAGACTGGCAACTCCTCCAGCTCTATCACCAGGCCTACTGAACCCTGCAGACTCCTGTCTCCGGGCTTGATCTTCTAGCCATTATGAAAATGGAGGGGGCCTCCTGGCAGGTTCCTTTCCCTCCCTGGATGTGGTGAACCTCACTTCCATAAAGCCTCAGAAGCACATTTGAAAACATACCACGTGTAGAGACCCTCTCCTGCTCCCTTTCTTAACTCAGGGTGTCCCCAGTCCTCAGTCTCCTCTTTATTCTCCTAGGGCTGCTGCTCTAACACTGGATCCAGGATGACTTCTTAATCCACCCCATCCCAGCCCCGACTTGGCTGTCCCTTGTTAGTGGTGCAGTTTTGCCAGCCAGGAACTGCCTAATCCAGGGCTTGAAGCTTTACCCAGATAAACATTTAATGAGCATAGAATGCAGTGGACTCCATCCTGAGAGGTCAGGAGGAGGGGAGAACAGACCCTTGGGGCTGGGAACAGGACCTGGAGGAACAGCTGCTCCTCACATCTGTGCTCACTGCACACCACCCCTCCTCTCAGTCTTAGCTGCTCCAGCAGGCTCCATGGGGGCATGTACTGGGCCAGCTTCTAGCATCTCAGAGCAGTGGTTGTGGCTGTGGCTCTCATTAAATCAGGTCCTGAGCTCCCCTCTGCCCTCCCACCAGTGGTTGAGGCGGGAGCACGTGATAGCAGGGGAGACCAGATCCATGATGTATTTGGGGAGCCACTGGCAAGGCTGTACATACAGGGCAGGAAGGGCCTCCAGGAGCAGCTTCCTTGACCACCCCTGGGGGAAGGTCAGGGCACCAGCCATGCACTTTCTTTCCCCTGGCTGGTGGCTTGCAGTGACTCTGAAGGATGATGAGGTCCCAAGCAAGACATAGGTTTTAAAAGAGGGCATCTCCAGGGGCCTGTAAGACACAGTGAAATGAAGCCACTGCCTTGGAAATAATTTTCATATACACTATATATGTATCATGTGGACTTTCATAGTATATGCCTATGAGGTGCTCAGAGCACATTTACATCCCTAATTTATAGATGGGGAAACTGAGACAAGATGAGTGAAGGGCCTGATATTGCTAAGTGAGTCAGGCAGGGCGAAGACTAGAACCAGAATTTAGGTCTTCGGACTGTAATCGGTGCTTTTTCTAAGGGAGTCACCTGCTCCAGGCACCTTCACCAGAGGTCTCATCTGCTCCTGGGGAAGGTCCTCAGGGAGACCTTAGAAGGTAGCTAGGCTGGGATGTCAGCACCTGATACGAAATGAGTGCTAGGAAGACTGGTTGGGGAGCAAGAAAAGCAGCCTGGCAGCTTGGGTAATCAGTTACTCCATGGAGCTTGTTTCATCTTCTGAAGAATGGGTAGAAAAAGAAATGTCCTCCAGATATTCTGGGATTCTTGTGAGACTAAAATTAAGTGAGATGAGTGCAAAAGTGTTTTGTAAATTGTAAACAGGCATAAAAATGAATGTCATAATTAATGCAGAGTCAAGGAACCAAGTTGGCAAAACTTACAGAAGAAAAACAACAAGGTAAGAAGAAAGGAGAATGTTAAAATAGGGCTGGTTTTCTTTCCTTATCTCCTTCTATCTTCTACCTGTAGGCTGTCTACTCTTTATGTGTGGGGGGGTGCTGACATTATTTTATTTGATCCAGATATTCCAAGACTAACTTAAAGATGAAAATGGTTTTATGAGATAAAACCCCAACATATATTCATAACTTTCCTTGAACTTCAGATTTTAAGCATGTTATTATATTGATAATTTTAATACCACTCTTTCTACTCCCAAGAATACAAATTAGGTATTTATCTGTTTGACACTATGCATTAAAATAAAAACAATTTAATTTTGGAAGTGCTAATATAATTTGCACACAGATACCCCTTAAAAATCATGCCTTAAAAATGTCAGACTTACCTTGAACAAGTTTTAGTGGGAATATATTGCAAAGCAGAGGAAATAAATGCATCATATAGAGAGCTGTAAAATACAGACACCTTAATCAATTGCAAATGCAAGTTTAGACTCCAATAAAGGAGAGTAACTATGTGGTGAATAATTATTTTAAATATACATATAATTGGGATTACCTTTGGCTTATACAAAATGTTGTAAAACAGCAAAGACATTTTGTCATCAAAATGAATACTCGTTAATACTCAGAATACTATTGGAGGAGGAAAGACTTTTGCAGTGACTGCTTAGAAAGATGTAAGGGAATGGGCCAATATCATTAACCGTTACCTGAAGGAGGAACTGAAGCCTGAAGAACTTAAGTAACCTGCCACTGTCATTCACTAGCAGGGGGATTGTGTAGTCCAAGTGCCCTGACTTCCCAGTTTATGCACTGGCTGTGTGTGCTTGGTAAGTCCAACTCAGTTGTGTCCAACTCTGTGTGACCCCATGGACT